TTCTGCTGCTGTAATAGATTACCAGAGACTGGCTAGCTTATAAAGAAGGTCAGGACAGTTAGCTTGTTCTTCTGAAGGCTAGAAGTTCAGGAGCTTGGTGCCCACATATGGTGAGGGTCTTCACTCTGCTTCCTAACACAGTGGGGGATCATGCGGTGAGAAAGACAGAACGCTAGTTCAGGGGTCTCATCCTTGTGAAGTCATTAATGCTTTTGCAAGGACCTGAGCTCATCTGGTTCTGATGGCTTCCCGAAGACATCATCCCCAAATACCAACAATTATGAATTAGAGATAGCTGCTAACATACTAGTTTTAGAGGACACAGTCAAACCACAGCTTGGACCTTGCTATCACTGGAGGTGACTGGAGACTGTCTTCTTGGGGAACTCCAGAAGTCAGTATCGAACACATGCCTCAGAGCTGTGCCTCTGAGAGCCAGGAGAACTGGGGCCAACAGAACTGGGATGCATGTCCACCTTTTTTGGAAGTTTAATTTATTTAATATGCATACAGCATTCTGTCTGCATACATGCCTGCCTGACAGAAGAGGGCACTAGATCTCATCACAGATGGTTGTGAGCCACCATGTGGTTGCTGGGAATTGAACTCGGGATCTCTGGAAGAGCAGCCAGTGCTCTTAACCTCTAAGCCATCTCTCCAGCCCTACCACCTCTCCTCTTTATCCATCATTTCCTATAGCCAGTCACTGAGTCCCAAGACCAGGGGTATAAATTCCCTGGTCCTTCTGGCCTATGAATGGCATGGGCTGACCCTGGCAAAAATCATGGGTGTGACCACGGGAGGCTAGGCTGGTGTGTTGGTGTGTGTGGCACTGAGGGAGACACAACAACGCTGTGGCTATTGTGGACATGTCCCCAGCCCCTTTCACACCATCATCAGAACCCCTCACACCGGTGAATCCCTGGACACTGTACCACAAACAAGAACCCCAGCTTCATCCACTGCAGGTGGAAAAAGAAAGGTACAGACATTGTACAGAACCACTTGGTGATTCCTCAATACATTAAACATAGAATGTCTCTACGGCCCTGCAAACCTACTCCTAAACATGTGAAAAACAACTTAAAATGAGAATCTGAAAAGTATCTAATATATAGATATCCATAGCTGCAGTATTCACAACCCTAAGTGGGAAATAACCAGAACCTCTGTGGACCACAGAGCATATGAATGGGATGTGTGAGAGCCACATGAGAAGATAACCAGCCGTCCGAAGGAGCAGAACTCTGGCACAGGTACCAGCCTGGACCAGCCTTACAGGTGATGCGAAGCGAGAGTCACACACAGGGCCATAGACTGTGGTTCTGTTGACATGAGCGTCCAGGGCAGGCAAGTCCTGGAGATGAAAGTGGAAGTGCAGAAGCCAGAGACGACAAGGTGACTTTGTGACGGTACAGTTTCCTTCACGGATGCTGAAAGATGCGGATGCCCCAGAAGGTACCAGATTGCACACTTAGAATTTTGAAGATGCTGAATTTTGTGAGGTAGTTAGGGTTTCATGTAGTACAGATCTGCCTTGTAGCCAAGGATGACCTTGACCTCCCAATCTGCCTCTCTCCACCTCCCAGGTGCAGGGTTACAGGTCGGCATCACTGCACTTGGTTTGTGCTGTGCCAGGGATGGACCCCAGGCTTGGTGCATATAGACAAACAAGTGCTCTGTCAGCTGGTCTGCATCCTGAGCCCATCAGATAACTTTTGCTTTAAATCACACCAAGCATTCTGCATCTGAGATGCTATCGTTTTAAGGTGGGGACCAAACCCTGCGGGACCTGTGCACCGCAGGGTCTCACAGCCAGGGATGGTTATACTACAGGGGTGATCCCGGGGTCCTGGGCTGGAGCTGAGTTCCACAGACAGACCTGATTTCTGGGAGGGACAGTCTGGCCAGAGATTGCTGGTGGGGCGGCTGACTTGCTTTTCAGAGGAGCCAGCTCTGGCCACTTGTGTAGAGCAGCCCAGAACACTGGGTAGGGGAGGAGGTGCCCAGCTGGAAAACTGCGGGGTGTCTTGTCTTAAATATAATATTAAATCAGCACCTTTAATTAGTACGCTTAGAAAAGGCCACTAGCAATTACCTGGGACACCAAGAAGGCGTGAGCTGGAAAGAGCCCGTGAAGGAAGCCACAAAAGACCATTTTGAGCCGCACATAATTGAGGAGAAAATGGATAAAAGTCCAGGAAATTATAGGGTGGGTGACAGCAGCTGATGGTCCCGTCCCTATCCTGCCCAGCGCCCCCCTCCCTGGGAGGACCCGAGTGTCAGGCCTGGGAGAGCCATTGAGATATCAGGTTCAGTCACACGACCTTGGCTGCAGGGCTGATGTGGTCTTCCCACAATCCCCTTGGCCAGCCAGAGCGTATCCTCACTGAGCCTTCCACCTGGGTCAGGATGGGGCTGGCAGGTGAGGCCTGTTTTCTGAGGACTACAGGCTATACATGTTTATACTGTGGAGGGCCAGGGCACATGGCGGGGGGCTCTTGTCTCCTGTAGGAAACTGGCCCAAGGCCTGAAAAGCAGCTCTTTGTTTCCCAAATCTGACAACAGAGAGGTGACGTATGTATGTACGTACGTATGTATCTATCTATATCTATGTATCTATCTACCTACCTACATCGTATAGAGAGATATATAGATATGATGTATGTATATGTATATTTATGGAAACCAGGAGTCTTGACTGGAAATGCCTGCACAGTTTTAGAGTATTTTTTAGAATGCATTGTATGGTTCACTCAGCTCCCAATTGACCCTCGTCGTTTGGATATCAGGTCTTTGGGAAGTTGAGGTTGACTTACCGGTGACTTTCACACACTCCACCCTTCTGACTTAGGAAAAAAAGGCATCGAGCTTGGCATGTAGGCTTTCAGAGATGGGGTCACGTGCTTCCTAACACTCACTAACTGGGTGTTTGCTTGCTGCTTCTGGCTTCTTCCTCGGTAAGATGGGAAAGCTGACGCCAAGCTATTCTGACTCTGCTCCATGCCTCTCTCATCTCTCAATGCCCTTCTTGCCTCTCATCTTCATTGCCACACATGCCGCCTGCCTCTGCCTTTTGACATGGAAGAGGCTATGTTCCTTCCCTGAATCTCAGTGTCCTCATCTATAAAATGGGTACAATAATGATCACCAGACAAAATTATGGGAGGACTGAATGAGTAAATTTAAGTGCATGGACCAAAACAAAACAAAACACCCTTCCTATTTGGGGAACCTGGTTAGGGCCTGGCAGCAACATTTCTGTGGAATTCTTGCTTACTGTGGAAGAACAGAATCTCTAGGTTGACCTATGGAGTGCAGCTCTGCCGTCTGCCAACCATGAGGCTGTGGGAAATGATGACATTGCTGGCTATTGCCTTAAAAGCTCTGAGGCAGACAGTATGGCGTACGGAGCTCCTTGCCTGTCTTTGTTCCCAGTTTGCAAGCATTGGTGGTCACTGTTGACTTAGAGCTGCTCTTCCTCCTGAAGCAACTCCTGAGTCACAGACACACAGCCCGCCCTTCCTTCCGTCCTCCCTCCCTCCCTCCCTCCCTCCCTCCCTCCCTCCCTCCCTCCCTCCCTCCCTCCCTTCTTTTCTTCCCTCCCTCCCTTTGCTTCTTGAGGCTATTGGTTAAATACGAATGCCAGTATTTGGGGAACGGATAGTGCCTGTTCCATTTTGCAGGTTCAGCTGAACCCTTAAAAGAAAGGAGTTGCCCAAGCCAAGGCTCTGAGGTGATAGATCTTCCCTTCAGAGGTCTCCACCCTGTACCCCCAACATCTAAGGACTTAGGGCCTCCTTGGAGCTAAGGTGACCAGCTATCCCAGCCACCCGGGAGCTTTGAGGACTTCACACTTATGCCAGAATCCTCTTCATCCTGGGTACATGGGGCAGACGGTTCATCCTCTTCAAAAGCCACTAGGAAACCAGGGAGTCCCAGGACAAGATATTCTATACCAACCTTCTGAGCCGGGCTATATGGCACATGATGCCTGGGGTGGTCTCTGTCCAGAGCATAACATCCTGAAGAGGGTGACCCCTACCTTTTGGACTTCTTGAGGACAGGAACCAGACCCAGCCAGAATGTCTTCTCAGCCTCCGTGCACAGACAAAGACCAGACATGTTGGAAAATAGTTTGAATTAGAAAAGATTTCTGCCGGGCAGTAGTGGTGGGATATGCCTTTAATCCCAGCACTCAGGAGGCAGAGGCAGAACTCTCTGAGTTCGAGGCCAGCCTGGTCTACAAAGTGAGTTCCAGGACAGGTTCCAAAGCTAGAGAAACCCTGTTTCAAAAAAACAAACAAAAGATGCTTCTATTCGCAGAAGATGGAAACCCAACTCAACAGAATTAGGAATAAAACAAGCGGGGAAGGGTGTGGTCATCAGTGCCTGTAGCTGAGACATCCGGAGGACTGAGCCAGTATGAACCCTGTGGGACTGACCATCACCATGTCTATAGGCTTTGCGAGCTTTCTTGGCAGCCTTGCCCTCAGGTGGGCTTCTCTGGTAGGTGCCAAACTGACCCAGTCAATAACCCAGTGGAATGAGAGCACAAGCCCTGGAATTGGCTTTGATTGGCTAGTTTGAGTCACATACTAGCCAATCATCCTGATGGGAGAGAGGGGACCCTTTGATTGGCTAGGGCTGACTTATGCACACCACTTGGGACATAAGAATTGAAATATTGGAGGTCCACTTGTATCTGAGCCCACCCGGGAGAGGTCTCGGTGTTACTGTTATAAAGGTCACAGCTTTTCATTTCACACCCTGAGTTACAACTGTGTGCACCCTGGGCCAGGTGGGCCAGGACAGAAGTGGAGAGCCTGGGTTGCAGTCCAGTGATGCTCAGGTGGTTTGGGGATGACTGTTGGCCTCTGGAAGACTTGGAAGCTTATGAGATGACCATGCCCTGAAGGCTGCCCTGTCATCTGAGCAAGATGGGAAGAAGCGAGCCTGACCTTTGTGTTGTCCTCTCCTCTCTTGTTCAACCACTCCAGGTTCTTCTGTGACCCAGTTGCTGGCCCGAGACATGGACAATGACCCGTTGGTGTTTGGTGTGTCTGGGGAGGAGGCCTCTCGCTTCTTTGCTGTGGAACCTGACACTGGTGTGGTGTGGCTCCGGCAGCCTCTGGACAGAGAGGTATGGCACATGACTCCATAGTCTCGGCCCTTTCCTGGAGGAGCAGGAGCAGACAGTGGAAGAAGGTGGCACAGCATCTTTGGGGCGGGGTCTTCTTCCAAGGCCCTATCCTACCTCTGCTGCCACCATTTGTCTTAGCGGTAGCTCTCTTCCAGGGCTGTCTTGGACCTGGTTGGAGTGGGTTGGATGGGGGTTCTCAGAGTCAGGAGAAGCATTGGATGAGCAAGAGGAAAGTGACCATGAGGTCATCTCTAACCCTGTTCTCTCCTCCCCTTCTTCTTTTAGACTAAGTCTGAGTTCACAGTGGAGTTCTCCGTGAGTGATCACCAAGGGGTGAGTGTCCCTCGAGACCCGATAGCCCTATGAGGGCTGATCCTGGACTTAGTGGGTCCCTGGGCTGCGTGGGTGGGAAGAGGCCCGAGGGGGGAGGGGCAGTGTTGAGCCCAGCACATCTCTCTCCAGGTGATCACACGGAAGGTGAATATCCAGGTTGGAGATGTGAATGACAACGCCCCCACATTCCACAACCAGCCCTACAGTGTGCGCATCCCCGAGGTAAGGACCGTCTAGGTCATGTGTGGGATACTGGGATGATGATTCCTGGGACCACAGCTGTTCTCTAGTCCAGCTGGGTGGTAGGTATGTGATCTCTGAGTACGAGTAGATGCCTTGCCCCTGGCTCACGCTCTAGCCCGGATTCCACTTGGGACCAATGAGAGCTACCCATCCTGTGGTTGAAAGAATGACTAGGCCAGCGAGTAGAGAGCCCCAGGCCTGCCCTGGCAGATCTCACCCCCATCTGGGGTTGGTAATGGAACAGGAACTGGGAGAAAAAAGTATTAATGCCTTCTTCCTTCCATCTGCAGCCTGCTGTGGGCCTTGGACAAGGCATACAGGCAGGCCTCACCCCAGCACTACCTGCTTTGGCCAGAATCTGGTCCCTGCGGGACTGGGGAATTTGCATGTCCCTAGCTGTGTGGTCTGGCCCGCAGTTCCCGGGAGCTTCTGTTCTGTGTACTCTGACTGTGTTTGCATGAGTGCATGCGTGTAAAATCAAGCCATCGCTGGTAATTGAGAAGTACAAATTATTGCATTACAAACGGTTCGTTAATAAGCTGGCTCCCGACGGCACCAGGGCTCTCTTCTCTTGCTGTCCCTCACCACGGTGGTTGGTCATTAGCTGGGAGAAGACCCTGACTGAGACTGGTAGAGAGCTTCTAACTGGGTGTCCCCCGAGCCTGCCCTCAGGGCTCTAGCTGGGGCAGGAGCTGGGGTGAAAATGACGGGAGACATAGTCCTCTGGAAAGGCAGGCTGGCACCAGACACTGGAATCCTAACTCCTTCGTGCCATTGTCACTGGGAAACAAAAAGAGGCAAGAATATTCCCTAGGCTTGAGTGGGAGAGGGACTTGCCCAATGTCACAGCTGTAACTTTGATCCTAACTTCTGAGGCACCTAAGACTCCTGAAGGGTAATGGGATCTTCTCTCACAAACCAGAGGTCCTGGCCTCAGCACTCAGTGGTGAGCCAAGGGTCCTAACACTTGTGCCAGTTGGAGGGGTAGGAGGGCAACTCTAACACTGGGACTGTCCAGTGGTGCCCGGGACAGGATGGCAGGAGAGAGGGTCCACATTCATCAGCAGGGGGGCACAGTACCCTGACGTGCCTGAGGACAGCGGCTTGGCTTCTGGCTCTCGCTCACTTGGAAGTGCCCCTAATTCAATTAAGGGTCTCTGCGTGCCAGCCTGCGCTCCAAGCCTGGACTCAGAAGCCAAGGGCATGGCTCGGAGTTAATGAGCCTTGTGCCCATTGCTCAGCTGCCATCCTGGCAGGCTGTCCTCTGTCCTCCCTGGAGAGGGAATGGGAGGCAACAGCAGTGATAAGAGGACAAGCAGTCCTGTCCCTCCTTCCCAGCCCTTGGTCTGGAGGCCAGCTTTTTCCTCTTGCCTCCTGCAGAAATGCAACCTGCAGAATACACCCTTGATAGAACCCGCACCCCTGGGGTCCTCCAAGCCTCTTGGCTTCCACTGTTGTTCATTTAATTAGCAAAGATTGTCCAGTATGGCATGGTTCTGTGTGGCTCTCATTCTCAGGCCTGAGAAGCTGCAGAAACAGAGTGTCGGGACTCAAGGCAAATAGTCTCAGGACACACCCCTGCCCATGCATTGTCTTTAACCCCTCTGGGCCTAGTCTTCCTTGTTGCCTAAGAATGAAGAGGTGAGGTAGATACCTGCAGAGAGCCCACAGTGCTGGGGGAAGGCCTGTCCAACTCATTTGCTTGTGGGTAGACACCTATGGTCACTCTGTGGCCTGTTACTTGATGCTGGCTTTAGGGCTGCTCAGTGTGTCCAGGGCATATGGTTTCAGCTAGATGGAGGCCCAGTCATCTTGGCACGGCCCAGCCCTGGGCCTGGTGTGGTCACCTGAGCTGGGACTGAGCTACTTGGCTCAAACCCCAGCTGGGGAACCAGCACGGGCGCTGGCCCCTGGCCTGGAATGGAGACCATAGTTCTCTGCTTGCATTAAAGGTATCCTGGATGTACCATGGTTTGTTGGAGAGGCAATTCCAATGGCAGAGGCCCTTGAATGGGAGCAGGGTGAAACTGAAGACCAGGGTGATGGGGTGAAGAGAGGAGCAGGCAAACCACAGACCTTGCTGGGAATGAGCACCTGGCAAATTCCAGAGTGTCTGGGACTTCCCAGGGCTTTCTGGAGGAGGTGGCTTTCAGTAGACCTGATAGCAGTAGGAGGAAGGACAGTGAAGACAAGGGACCTAATCTCTGCTCCTTGTCATATAAACTGACTTTATATATACCATAGCCTATGTACTGGCTTGGTGTGTGTGGAGTGGGGAGGGGGATACAGCTGCCCAACTAGGGGATTGACCAGTACTTTTCTTATTAAGAATCTAAGGGTAGAGCCTAGCAGGTGATGCTCTTTTCTTCCCAGGAGTCCCTTGTGCTTAAGGGATGGTAGAAAAATTCCTAGACTGCCTCCATCTATCTACTCAAGTCCTCTATGAGCATCTAAGTCACTGTACCAAATCCCTTACCTTCCTAACGGCAATGTCCCTAAACCTAGGCTCTGATGATTAACTGGATAGTCTGTGGGGCCAGAATAGCCTGGCTGTGATGCTGATGCATGTCACTCCCCGGCCTTCCCAAGGATGTACTGAGCTCCTGTGCATGTAGGCTTGCAAGGAAATGCACGAGAGCCATGCACCTCCAGACACCCAGCACCATGGTTTAGAACTGTGATGAACCAGGGGGCCCTCAAGTGCCCCAGCAGAGTATCCTGGGTGACTTTTCAGAGGTTTCTCCCCATCCCATGATTCTGCCTCAGTAGATCAAGGAGAGCTGGTTTAGGGATCTGTTTGTGTATATGTATGGGTCCCTGGGCCTAGCCACGCTTAGGCAAGACAGTGAGCCATTGCTGAGCTCTGTCCATCCTTTTGAAATTTTCTTTTGGATATGGTCTTGTGAAGGTCTTGCCCTAGGCTGGCCTCAGACACATTACAGGCCTGTGCCACCACACAGGGGAGGCCAGAAATCTGCAGGATGGTGACAGTGAGCCCTGCTAGGTTTGGAGAACTTGACAGGGTGACCGTGAGGGTTTCTGAAAGATGCTAAGAGCAGTTGCCTGGTATGAAAACCTTCAGCAGTCCATGATGCCTATGGGGACCTCAGTCCCTGAGGTCAGAAGTAGTGGGGTGGGAGACACCTAAGCCAAAGCTCACACCCCAGTCTGTGCAGCCCTGTGCCTGGTGCCCCTAAAGGCCCAGCCTCTTTGCCAGGAGAAAGCAGACAGGTGTGTGTTTGTGTTTTTGCTGTCTTCCTTTCTGCCCACCCTCCTCCCCTTGCTAAGCGGCTCTCTGTGTAATTATCCATTTTATCAGGGCAAAAGGCCCCGCAATTCACTTGTCGAAGCTCTAACGAGGGAGCGCGGATGCTTTCAAGTCCGTAAAGAAAGGGGAAATCCGGCTAGAATTGGCAACTTAATTCACCAAGCCAGCCTCGACAGACCTCATTAAGCCCCCGTGTATTCATTTCAGCCTAATGGCTGTCACGCTGACTGCTGTTTGATTTGCTGTAATAGACTTTTATGGCCTGCCAATTTGCTCAAACGTGTTTGCCTGTGTCTATGCCCAGCGGTACTGCTCCACTACCTCAGCGAGGGGGCCTGGCTCGCCTTGCTGACCTTCAACACTGCCTAGCTTGTTCCTCTCTGGAGGCCAGTTCTCAGTCCTGCAGGGTGCCAGGGGAGGTGACCCTGATGCTGGGGTATTTGGGCAGGAGGGTAGCTGTGAGATTAGAAGTCCGGAAGGGTTGGTGGCTTCCGGGACGTCGAGGGTTCCCTGGAGTCTCAGGGACACGGTGTCCTTGATGTTCGCACAAGTGGAGCTTCCTCAGCTGGGCAGCTCTGGCTTTTATCCATCTGGTCACAACTCACCTTCTACCTCACTCGGCTGAATCCTCCTGTCCACCCGAGGACTGCTTCGGTGCATTTAGTCTGCCCGCCTGGCTTTCTCTATTCCCACACTTACCTTGCTAACTCATTAAAGTCCAACTCAGTTGAGCCTTCAAAGACCAGGTTGGATCTGTGTAGCCTGATCTTCAGTGTGCTTTTTTCCGTGACTGCAGAAAATGTTTGTTTGAACAGCTCCTGGGCGGAACCCTTTGATGACTTGGGCATGGCAGGCAGGGGGCGGGGGTGGGGTACGGGGGACCTTGGATTACTCGGACTTGCAGGGGGTGGGGAATAGATGTCCCCACTCTCCAATTATGTTGCTTTCAATGAGTGACTTGCTCTCTCCGTTCCTACTTATTCTCATCCCTCCGTGCACCCCCTTTGTCTCTGTCTGTCTGTCTCTCTGATTAAAAGGGCTTTGCACATGTGCAAAGTGCCCTAATGCTGACACACAGCCAGACCCCCCCTTTCCCTTTGATTTTGTAATCGTCTCACCAAGTGACCCAGGCCGGCCTTGACCATACTATCCCCCACCTCAGGTCCTTGGAGAGCTAGCATTACAGGCCTGCCCCAACCACCAGCTTGGACCTCTGTCATCTTCTCTAGAAGATGAATGTCATTGCTTGTCACCAATAGGATTGTTAGACTTGTGTTAATGTAGGTAGGAGACGATCTTAGTCTAATGCTGCTGAATGGGTTGAGATCTTCACCCTCAGAGGAAGCCGTTTTCTAAAGCGAGAAGCCAGTGCACTCACTCTCTTGACTGTGCCTCCTGTTGTTAAATGTTATGGCGGCTTTGTGTGCACAGCCCAATGGAAGCATGAGGGCTGTATGTGCCGAGTCCTAGTAGGATGCATAGGAGTTCCTTAGGGTAGGCAACTAATACCATGCATTTCCTGGAATCCTTTTGCTATCTTTTTTATATACTGGAATTTCCAAAAGAAGGCGAATTCTAACCCAAACTGGAGGCCCTGCTGAGACAAGATAGTAGCTGAGGGCTAGGAACATAGGTCCCTTGCAAGTTCCCAAGCTACCACAAAGAGACAAATGGAGACAAAGCCAGACTGAAGGTAGGTTCCCTAGGCTCA